GAATCATTTGATGAGATGCAAAGAAATCCTAATCGAAAAGTATTCAAAAGGCAAAAACTTTCATCATCAACTATAGAAGGGGTTATTATTGTCCCTTCGCCAACTATTTCTAAATTTGACCAAAATGCATCTCAAATGAAGTTGGTGAAAATTTGTGGAAGATGATGACTTCCGTGACTTTGTATGGTCCTTGCAGCCACGATTTAAAGTCCCATCCCGCATCACATTGAGGCGTGAAATGTGGGAAATCTATGAAGAAGAAAAAATAAAGTTGAAATTTTTTCTATCAAAATAATGTGGGAGGGTTTGCTTAACTACAGACACATGGACTTCAATCCAAAATCTAAACTACATGAGTTTGGCAGAGCACTTTGTTGACAATGATTGGAAACTTCAAAAGAAAATTTTGAATTTTTCTCAAACAACAAGACATTAAGTAGAACTCATTGCTAAACATGTTGAGGCTTGTTTGAATAATTGGGAGTTGAAGCGGGTCCTTAGTATCATTGTGGATAATACTACATCAAATGATGTTGGGGTCCAATATCTTAAAAGGAGGATGTTATCATGTAATTGTCTTGTCTTAAAGGGAGAATATGTCCATATGCGTTGTTATGCACATATATTGAGTTTGATTGTGAAGGATTGTTTAAAAGAGATCAAAGATTCAATTTTGAAAATTTGAAATGCAATTAAATATGTGAAGTCTTCTCCAGCTAGATTTGCTAGATTCAAGGCTTGTGTTGAGAAAGAGGGAATTTTTTATAAAGGTCTTGTTTGCCTTGATGTTGAATCCAAGTGGAATTCAACTTACTTAATGTTAGAGGTGAGCTTGAAGTACAAAGATGCCTTTGTCTTGATAGATATGCAAGACAAGAAATTTGGAGTTGAAATGGCTAAAGGTAATGGTAGTGTGCCACTGGAAGAGGATTGGGAATATGCGAGGTCTGTTCTACCATTTTTAAAGATGTTTTATGACTCTACCATGCACATTTATGGTTCTTCATACGTCACCAGTCATATGTACATGAAGGAGGTGTTTGGAATTGGTAAAAAGATTCAACAATATTCTGAGAGTAGTGATGTGAGCATTAGGTTGATGGCATTGAGGATGAAGGGAAAGTATGAAAAATATTGGGGAAATCTTAATGGAATTAATATCTTATTATTTATTGTTGTTGTGCTTGATCCTAGGAGTAAGTTGGATTTTGTTTCATTGACTATATATTCGAATCTGATATGGCTAGGCAATTGAAATCAAAATTGTTGTCATCTTTGAAAACACTTTATGAACAATATCAAGGTGTTGAGGAGGGTTCTCAAAGTAGCCAACAAGAATCACAGCTAGATGACGAAGATGATGATCCTCATGGCATGAGTTTCTACCTAAAAGCTACTGGACCTAAATTTGATTATATATCAGAGCTTGATAAATATTTGAGAGAAGATCTTGAACCTTATACAAAGTCAATTGAGCTTGATGTTTTACATTGGTGGAAAGTCAACTCAACTAGATTTCCTATCCTTCCAAACATGGCTCAGGAGGTGTTGGCCATTCCCATCTCTATGTAGCATCAGAAAGTTCATTCAGCACAGGAGGAAGGGTGGTTAGTCCTTATCGTAGTTGCCTAACGCCTCAAAATAGTGGAAGTACTTGTTTGCACAGAAGATTGGTTGAAAGGAACACCTTTCTCTATACTTTTTGATGAGGATCCTAAAGAGCTTGATAAATTTGAGCAAGGTGAGTTTATAATAAAAATCTATATATTTTTAGTTTATATTTTAAATTTTTGAAAATGGTGGAATATTTTTTTTATAGAGATAACCTCTCAAGATGAAGTGGGACCTTCAAGTGCTATTCATTTGGATGATTGAAGATGTGCTTGATAAGTTATATTTTATGATACAACTTATATTTGAAGATGTATTAATTTTTTGATTTTGTTGTTTATGGGAGAACCTACATATTCTTGAATAGAGACAAATGCTTCTTGTCTTCTTAGTTTTATGATTTGTCTTGATTATGAGAAACATATATAATTTTAACTTGATTTCCATTTAATGACTCTCAAGACAAATGCATCAACATGGTATGATTTCAAGTATTTATATTTATATTTTACAAATTACAGTTTAAAAATAGTATAATAGGTGTTAAGTGGTTCTGTGAGCAATATTTCCATTTCATGCTTCAACCATAAGTTTTTCATATATTGAAACTCCAATAAATAGTATCATTATCCTCACTGTTTTAAAGCAACTATGCGATACATCTGAATATGAGTTTTCTAGTGTAAGTGTTGCTAGTGAATGTTATGTTTGTAATGGTTTTAATGGATTTATAATTGTGATTAGTGTTGGTGATTTTGAAATGGCTCTATAAAACATTTCATTTTCATGTTTCTACTCAACAAATTCTAGTCAGGATGTTGTCTTGTCCCATGGAAACTTTATTGCAAGTGTTGTTGGGGCTATTATAGAGGAGAAATTTGGCATTTCTGATGTGTAAGTCCATTTTAAATGTATATAATGTTCATTAATCATTTATACTATCTTCTATAGTGTTCCTCGGTTATATAACATAATTTATGCTAGGTAGAGTAATTATACATTTATATTGTACCTCTTAGAACTGTTCGTCAGTTTCTTGTATGGTGATTATATAACAAAAAATTCTTGAAGTGATGAATGTCCCTGGTTTGACAAGAGATAATGTTGCTAGTCATTTGCAAGTTAGTTTCTATTTAGTTTGTATTGGATTCCTATCTTTCTTTCAAGGTATTAAGAAATGTTAGCACAGTTTAGAAGCAGTTCATAAATAATTCAGTTCAAAAATAGTGCAGTTCAGAAACAGATTAAGGTGCATAATAGTTGAGTTTAGTTCATACTATAGTTTAGTGTAGTTTAGTGCAGTACAATTTGATAGAATAAAAAAAGTTTAGTTTAGTTTGTCTGATCCAATTTTAGTTTAACGCAATTTTTAATAGTTCAGTTTAGTGCAGTTTAATTTGCCCACCCCTACTGAAACCTTATTTACTTATAATAATAATGATGATGATGATGATGATGATGATGATGATGATGATGATGATGATGATGATGATGATTGTGAGACCCGTAGCTGGTATACACCTCCTTCCCTCCCAACTCTCACTCATTTTCCCTTTTCACTCTCTTGCTCACTCCTTCCCTTTTGATCTTTCTTTGGCTGGTGTGTTGCGGATCTCTTATTCCTCCTTTCTCATTTCATTCAAGCTTCCTTCAACCTTCTTCTTCATCCTCTCTATCCCGAAGCTCGGATCTTTGGCCCGAGGTAAGGGAAGTTAGCTTTCTTGCTGTGTTTTGGTTGAAATGGGGTTGAGAACTCACTGAGTTGTTGTGAGTGTTGGATTTGTTGGCTGATTTGGGTGTAACATGAAGTTTTTGGGGTTGTTGGGAGTTATGGGGGAAATTGGGGATTTTTTCATTCCGTTGTTGCATGTGTAAAAAGGTAGCATTTTTGGACTATTGAATGGAAATGTGATAATTTGAACTGATTGCATGTGGAGTTTGCTGATTTTTTTGCAGATGCTTGAAGAGTTTTCAAAAATTTGGGGTTTGCTGCTGAACTCGCGCTAGGCGCAGTTCTTCGCGCCGGGCGCATGGCCATCTGAAGGCATGCTTGAAAATGTTAGCCTCTGGATGGCCCACGCCGGGCGAGGGTTGAACCGCGCTAGGGGCGATGTCAGTCGTGACTTGTTTTTGGGCTTCTGGCATGGCGCTGAGTGCAAATTTGGCCGCGCTGGGCGCGGGGAATCCTTGGAGTCTCTGCCATGGGAGGCGCCGGGTGCAATTCAAATTGCGCTGGGCGCGAGACCAAGGGAGGTCTCTGCCTTCCCCGCGCTGGGCGCGGGTTTGAGCACGCCGGGCGTGTGAGACTCCTTGAAGTCTCTGCCTGGCATGCGCTAGGCGCAATTGGTTATTGCGCCAGGCGCGTGAGAGCCTTGGGCTCTCTGGTGGAGTCCCGCCGGGCGCGGGTATGCTCGCGCTGGGCGCGCTGGTCCCCTGGTGCTCTCGGGATACACTGCGCTGGGCGCAACCACGAGTGCGCCGGGCGCTGAGATGAGATTATAATATTTGATGGTTAATGTTATTTTATGATAAGTTGAGTTGAAATAGATGAATATGATGTGGTGACTAGTAGATAATGATGTTGATGATGTTGGGCTGTACCAGATAAATATTGTTGTAAGATGTGTTGATGTGTTGTAAAATGATGTGTTGTGTTGTGTTGTATGTAGGCTGAGTTGTTGTAGGCCGAAAGGCTGAGTTGTTGTAGGCCGAAAGGCTGAGTTGTTGTAGGAGATCTCCGAGTTGATATGCGTGACGACGCATTATATGTTTATGGATGGTTATGCTGTAAGGATCGATGAGATGCATATTGATGAAGTGTTGATAAATTGTAGTTGTTCTTATTACTTAAATTTTCCTATATGTGGTTTCTTTTTATGCTAGCTTACCCTTTTGTTGTTTTCCATGTGGTTGGACTGCAATGATCATACTGTGTATGGGAGCAGAGCAGGGATAGGTGGTGTATCTGCAGCTGACAAGTGGAGCTGACTCCTTTTGATTTATGTTTTTTTTAGTCACTTGGCATAGTGACTTTTGATGTAATTCTCGTATTGCACGCCCTAACTCTAGTTGGACTTTGGACATTTGTATATATTTATATTCTAGATCCTATAATTATATACTTATTCTAATCTGTCTAGTGTTTCCGGTGTGTTATGGTTGTGAGTGTAGTGGCCAGCCGGGTCGTTACACTTTAGTGGTATCAGAGCAGGTTGAGTCTAGTGGACACTCTTTGGGGGTGGTCCCTTTAGGCTTTTGTTGTGTTAACTCTGGGTTGTGTTGTCTTGTTGTGTTGTTTGCAGTGTGGATTGATGTGATGAATTGTTGTGTTGTTAATTGTTGATTGGTTGAGTGGTAGTATACTGAAGATGTTGTTATTTTTGTAGACGATGACTAGAACCAACGAACAAATAGCCTGTGCCATAAAGATGATGGCTATGGCTATGCAGCAGCAAAATGCTTATTTTGCTCGGATGGAAGCTGAAAGAGCTGCAGCTGGTGCAGCAAGGCTGACAGGGTCATAGGAAAGTTGGGACCTAGCTGAGTTCTGGAAGTGTCATCCTCCACAGTTTGTGGGAGATGCAGATCTAGAGGCAGCTGACCGCTGGTTATGTGAGTTGGAGAAGATTTTTGTCGTTCTGGGATGTTCTCCAGAGAAGAGGTTGGCATATGCTGTGTATATGCTTGTGGGAGAGGCCGAACATTGGTGGAGGGGCACTTATCAGATGCTTGTGGCGAGAGGAGTTACGGTTGACTGGGAGTGCTTTAGGGCAGTGTTCATGGAAAAGTATTTCCCAGAGAGCGTGAGGCACGCCAAGGAGGCGGAGTTCATGCGGTTACACCAGGGAGGGCTATCTGTGTCGGAATATGCGATGAGGTTTGAGCATTTGGCTCGTTTCTATTCACAGGCTATTTCTGAAACCTGGAAGTGCACAGAGGATTGAGACTCAGAGGAGTGACAGACCCACTACAGCTGGTAGGGTGTTCGCTTTGACGGGTGTTGAGGCTTCGACTTCTTCTGACCTAGTGAAGGGGAAGGGCAAGGCTGCTGGTAAGGATGTGATGCTTTTGTTTGATTCTGGGGCTTCCCATTCATTTATTTCCTATGCTTGTGTTGCTATGCTGGGTGTGCCTGTGTGTGACTTGGGGTTGAGACTATTAGTGTCGACGCCGGCTTCTACTTCAGTAGTTGCTTCTGAGCTGTGTGCTAACTGCCCTATTGTTGTGAATGGGAAGAAGTACAAGGTAAGCTTGATTTGTTTGCCTTTGGTTGATATTGACATAATCTTAGGGATGGATTGGTTATCTGCCAATCGTATCCTTATAGATTGTGCCAATAGGCGGTTGATTTTTCCACAGGAAGAGGATGAGTTGTTGATTTCAGCTAGCCAAGCTGAATCAATGCTGAGGGATGGAGCGGGGTGCTACCTTCTGCTTGCTATGATGAGTATGGAGACTGAGAGGGACATTTCTGAGATAGATGTGGTGAGAGACTTTGCTGAGGTATTTCCTGATGAGGTTCCTGGGTTGCCTCCTGTTAGGGAGATAGAGTTTAGCATTGAACTGGTTCCAGGTGCGGGGCCAGTGTCGGTGACTCCCTATAGGATGGCTCCTGCCGAGCTGGTTGAGTTGAAAGGTCAGTTGGAAGACCTATTGGAGAAGCAGTTGGTGCGGCTGAGTGTTTCACCGTGGGGTGCTCCTGTGTTGTTGGTGAAGAAGAAGGATGGGGGTAGTCATCTTTGTGTGGATTACTGGCAGTTGAACAAGTTGACCATCAAGAACAAATATCCTCTTCTCCGGATAGATGACTTGATGGATCAGCTGAGGGGAGCATCGGTGTTTTCTAAGATCGACTTGAGGTCAGGATATCACCAGATTAGGGTAAAGGAGGGTGACATACCGAAGACTGCTTTCAGGACTAGGTATGGTCACTATGAGTATGTCGTGATGCCGTTTGGAGTGACTAACGCCCCTGCAGTGTTCATGGATTACATGAACAGGATCTTCCGACCGTTCTTGGATAAATTCGTGGTGGTGTTCATTGATGATATTTTGATTTATTCAAGAACCCGGGAAGAGCATGGAGAGCATTTGAGGGTGGTGCTGGAGATTTTGAAAGCAAAGCAGCTGTATGCTAAGCTTTCAAAATGTGAGTTCTGGTTGGATGAAGTGAAGTTCTTGGGCCACGTGATATCAGCGGAGGGGATTGCTGTTGATCCGACTAAGGTGGAGTCGGTGTTGCAGTGGGAGCGTCCGAGGACTGTCACTGATATTCAGAGCTTTGTGGGTTTGGCGGGTTACTATCGGCGGTTCATTGAGGGATTCTCCAGGATAGTAGCGCCTCTAACCCAGCTGACGAGAAAGGAGCAGCCGTTCATTTGGACTGATGCTTGTGAGCGGAGTTTTGAGGAGTTGAAGAGGAGGTTGACTACTTCTCCTGTGTTGGTGTTGCCAGACTCTGGTGAGCCCTTTGATGTGTATTGTGATGCTTCTCACCAGGGTCTTGGGTGTGTGCTGATGCAACAAGGGAAAGTGGTGGCCTATGCTTCAAGACAACTGAAGAACCATGAGAGGAATTATCCTACTCATGACTTGGAGTTGGCAGCTGTTGTTTTTGCCTTGAAGATATGGCGACACTATTTGTATGGTGCTCAGTTCAGCGTCTTTAGTGATCATAAGAGTCTGAAGTATCTGTTTGACCAAAAAGAGCTGAACATGAGGCAGAGACGGTGGATGGAGTTTCTGAATGACTATGACTTCCAGTTGATGTATCATCCTAGTAAGGCCAATGTTGTGGCGGACACACTGAGTAGGAAATCCATCCACATGTCGAGTATGATGGTGAGGGAGTTGGAGCTGATTGAGGAATTCAGAGATTTGAACCTCGGTGTGGAGTTAGCTCAGGATCACATTAGTTGTGGGACGGTCACCATAACTAATGAGTTCTTGAGGCGGTTGAACTTAAGTAGTTGCAAGATGCTGAGTTGGTGAAGCTCCTTGGTTTGCTGGGTACCAAGAAGGCTGTTGGCTTTGAATTGGGAGAAGATGGAATCTTGAGGTTCAAGGGCAGTGTCTGCCTACCTCAGGATGCTGAGCTGAAGAAAGCTGTGTTGGAGGAAGGCCACAAGAATAGACTTAGCATACATCCGGGTATGACTAAGATGTACCAGGACCTTAGGAAGACTTTCTAGTGGTCTGGCATGAAGAGGGAGATAGCTGAGTATGTGGCGGCCCGTCTGACTTGTCAGAAGGCGAAGGTGGAGCATCAGAAGCCGAGTGGGTTGATGCAGCAGATTGAAATTCCGGAGTGGAAGTGGGATAGCATTACTATGGATTTCATTGTTGGGTTGCCAAGGTCAACTAGGAATAGTGATGGTATCTGGGTGATTGTAGATCAGTTGACCAAGTGTGCGCATTTCTTGCCTGTCAACATCAAGTGGTCCTTGGAGAAGCTGACACAGTTGTATGTGAGAGAGATATTACGACTGCACGGGGTGCCTTCCAGTATTATTTCCGACCGAGATCTGAGGTTCACTTCCAGATTTTGGCAGAGTCTACACCAAGCCTTAGGCACGAAGTTGAAGCTGAGTTCTGCTTATCATCCACAGACGGATTGTCAGTCAGAAAGGACAATCCAGTCCTTAGAAGATCTGCTTAGGGCTTGTGTGTTAGACCACTTGGGTAGTTGGGAGGAGGTCCTACCGTTGGTTGAGTTCACCTACAACAACAGTTTTCATGCAAGCATTGGGATGGCACCATTTGAAGCGTTGTATGGCAGGAGATGTAGGACTCCTCTGTGCTGGTATCAGGATGGTGAGTCAGTGGTGGTAGGTCCGGAGCTAGTCCTACAGACCACTGAGAAAGTGAAGATGATTCAGGAAAGGATGAAGACTACTTAGAGTAGGCAGAAGTCGGGTGCTGACAAGAGGCGGAAGCCTTTGGAGTTTGCCGAAGAGGAGCATGTGTTTCTGAAGGTGACTCCGACTTCTGGTGTTGGTAGAGCACTGAAGGCAAGGAAGTTGACACCGAGGTTCGTGGGTCCCTATCAGATCATGCAGCGTGTGGGTCCGGTTGCTTATCGGTTGGCCTTGCCACCGACTCTTTCAAACCTACACAATGTGTTTCATGTCTCCCAGCTGAGAAAGTACGTCCATGCCCCGAGTCATGTGATGGAGTTAGATGATGTGCAAGTGAAGGAGAACCTAACTTTTGAGAAGTTGCCGGTAGTTGTAACTGATCGTAAACTGAAGGAGCTGAGGGGCAAGTCAATTGCTCTGGTAAAAATATTGTGGGATGCAGCTACCGGTGAGGCTACTTGGGAGGGGGAGCAGCAGTTCAGAGAACGTTACCCATTTCTTTTTCCAAGTAAGTCTGTTTTCGGGGACGAAAACTTTTGTTGTTGGGGAGGTTGTGAGACCCGTAGCTGGTATACACCTCCTTCCCTCCCAACTCTCACTCATTTTCCCTTTTCACTCTCTTGCTCACTCCTTCCCTTTTGATCTTTCTTTGGCTGTACAAGGTGATTGTGCGGAGTAATCGATTTTTTTAGTTGGTGTGTTGCGGATCTCTTATTCCTCCTTTCTCATTTCGTTCAAGCTTCCTTCAACCTTCTTCTTCATCCTCTCTATCCCGAAGCTCGGATCTTTGGCCTAAGGTAAGGGAAGTTAGCTTTCTTGCTGTGTTTTGGTTGAAATGGGGTTGAGAACTCACTAAGTTGTTGTGAGTGTTGGATTTGTTGGCTGATTTGGGTGTAACATGGAGTTTTTGGGGTTGTTGGGAGTTATGGGGGAAATTGGGGATTTTCTCATTCCGTTGTTGCATGTGTAAAAAGGTAGCATTTTTGGACTATTGAATGGAAATGTGATAATTTGAACCGATTGCATGTGGAGTTTGCTGATTTTTTTGCAGATGCTTGAAGAGTTTTCAAAAATTTGGGGTTTACTGCTGAACTCGCGCTGGGCGCAGTTCTTCGCGCCGGGCGCGTGGCCATCTGAAGGCAGCATTTAGGCAAGCTCGCCGGGCGCAAAGATGTGTGCGCCGGGCATGCTTGAAAATGTTAGCCTCTGGATGGCCCACGCCGGGCGAGGGTTGAACCGCGCTAGGGGCGATGTCAGTCGTGACTTGTTTTTGGGCTTCTGGCATGGCGCTGAGTGCAATTTTGGCCGCGCTGGGCGCGGGGACTCCTTGGAGTCTCTGCCATGGGAGGCGCCGGGTGCAATTCAAATTGCGCTGGGCGCAAGACCAAGGGAGGTCTCTGCCTTCCCCTCGCTGGGCGCGGGTTTGAGCACGCCGGGCGTGTGAGACTCCTTGAAGTCTCTGCCTGGCATGCGCTAGGCGCAATTGGTTATTGCGCCAGGCGTGTGAGAGCCTTGGGCTCTCTGGTGGAGTCCCGCCGGGCGCGGGTATGCTCGCGCTGGGCGCGCTGGTCCCCTGGTGCTCTCGGGATGCACTGCGCTGGGCGCAACCACGAGTGCGCCGGGCGCGGAGATGAGATTATAATATTTGATGGTTAATGTTATTTTATGATAAGTTGAGTTGAAATAGATGAATATTATGTGGTGACTAGTAGATAATGATGTTGATGATGTTGGGCTGTACCAGATAAATATTGTTGTAAGATGTGTTGATGTGTTGTAAAATGATGTGTTGTGCTGTGTTGTATGTAGGCTGAGTTGTTGTAGGCCGAAAGGCTGAGTTGTTGTAGGCCGAAAGGCTGAGTTGTTGTAGGAGATCTCCGAGTTGATATGCGTGATGACGCATTGTATGTTTATGGATGGTTATGCTGTAAGGATCGATGAGATGCATATTGATGAAGTGTTGATAAATTGTAGTTGTTCTTATTACTTAAATTTTCCTATATGTGGTTTATTTTTATGCTAGCTTACCCTTTTGTTGTTTTCCATGTGGTTGGACTGCAATGATTATACTGTGTATGGGAGCAGAG